GTGCCACCTCGTGCTGGCGTCTGCGGCAGGCTAGACAAAAGGGCTGCCGGGGCGGCGGACAGCCTGCCTCTTTGGGGTAGCTTACAGCATTGGGAGATGCCACCATGGGTGATGGCTAGTCAGTGTATATAAATGCTATTGATACAGCCAGACAGGAACTGTATTTGGGACTTATAAAGAAGAAAGGGCAACATATTTAAGCTTAGAATTGTTGAAATCTTGGATGCTCATATTTCAAGGATTGACTATAGTTACTATGTTAGGAGAAATTTCAAGTAGGGATTTTTCTTTTTAACAAACTGATCATAACCTAGGCAAAAGGCGAAATGTGAGACGTATGCAAGTTATGAATGAACGGTGTTACCACACCTGGATGCATGATGTGATTGTGAATTTATGAATATGGATGAATGGAAATGCCTAAATTGCCTTGGATATGATTAGAGATATTTACATTGCCTCGGATATTGTTTAAAAAATATCAAAATCACTTTAATAGGGTCAAAAAGAGCATCCAGTTAATGAGTCAATGTCTTAACAGGAAAAATTATGATTTGAGCCCTAGGAGATAGTCAATTAAAAAGTTAGCAAAGGCCTATATCGTTAGCTTAGAGACATGAGAAATCTATGGATGATTCTGTAAAATTTGGCAGATGAGAGGATACAGGCCTTACTAAATTTTTGTGGTTCAAAAAGGAAAATCTAGAAAATAAAAGTTGATGCATGATTTTAAAAAGGGTTTATAAAAAGCCTCAGGAGAGAGCCATCCTGTTAGATTCACAGCTTGAATGTGTCCTTGCAGATACAATATCACCTTGCCCCCAACCCTCGCTTTCAGTGGCGAGTCCTGCCACAGGGCATGGCCAATTCCCCTACGCTGTGTCAACGCTTCATAGCCCAATCTGTAGATCCTTTAAGATTAGAGTTTCCTGAAGCATTTATTATTCATTATATGGATGACTTATTAATTGCTGCTAAATCACAGATTTTGGCACAAATTATTGCCCAGTCTCTGGTTCAGGCCCTACAGTCCGGAGGCTTCAAGATATCCCCGGAGAAAATTCAAACTTGCTATCCCTTCCTCCAGCTGGGATTTTATTACAGTTAAAAGAAAAATTCCCAGCTCAAAAGAGGCTGCCCGCACCAGGTTGTGCTGTACTGATTCCCCTACCAAGGGATGGTGCAACCCCCTGAATATTTCTTTCACAGATCCAGGAAGTAGATATGACTGAGTCAACTCTAGGGGGCTGGAATGGGGACTTTGTGTATACTGGCTAGGTCGAGACATTGGCTTGACCTTTAAGATAAAGCTAACAAAATCTGTTCCCTGGGCTCAGACGATAGTGATGGGCCCCAACACAGTGTTGCATGGCACACTCCCTAAAGCTGCCACAGTTTTACATGGCACACTCCCTAAAACTGCCCGCCCCTCGAGCCTCCCTGCTACAGTAAGTTCCTCTGTCTGCACCTCGATCTTTCAGCCCATGTTTTGCCAAGGAATGCTATCAGGAATGCTGGATTTGCTTTTCCCCTTGGCCGCCCTTCTGTGAGGGCATGCTGACTTTCGAAAATCTTATCTTCACTAATGAGAATTCCTCACTAAGATGGCATTCTGTGAACCTGAGGGATTGACCTTAAGTCAGGTCTCAGGCAAAGGCCTCTGTATTATAGGACCGGAACCCCATTTCCCAGAACCCTTACACTCAATATGCGACCAAACTGTCATTATCAGTCAGTCATCTACATATGTAGCTGCACCTGATGGAACCTATTTTGCTTGCTCTCTGGGACTCACCACCTACATTATTACTGCCCAGTTTTTACATGAATGCTATTATTGTGCACTTGTACAACTGATGCCTCGCCTATCTATACATGACCCTGAAGACCTCCTCCCATTTTGGGAGAGGGGTGATGATAAGTCTCGACAGAAAAGAGAACCTATTTTGGCCATTACTCTGGCTGTCATTTTAGGACTAGGAGCTGCAGGGTCAGGGACAGGGATAGCTTCCCTTGTCACCTCTAAACAGCAATATGCACAACTGTCTATGGCAGTGGACAAAGATATAAAGGAATTACAAACAGGATTACAAAACTTAAAAGACTCATTGGTCTTTCTATCTGAAGTGGTGTTACAAAATAGGAGAGGTCTTGACCTTGTCTTTCTTAAAGAAAGCGGCCTCTGCAGCTCTTAAAGAGGAATGCTGTTTTTATAAGGATAAGACTGGACTGGTACAAGACAGCATAGAGAAAGTAAAAACTAACCTAGAAATTAGGAAAAAACAGAGGGAACAACAAGAATCTTGGTATCAAAACTGGTTCTCTACTTCTCCCTGGCTATCAACTCTTTTGCCAAGTATCCTGGGACCCCTTATGGGTCTACACCTCCTTATATCATTCGGCCCTTGGGCCTTTGCAAAAGTAACCAGATTTGTTAAGACACATATCGATGCCATGATTAAGGAGCCTGTTACTATTCACTACCATCACCTCCAGACAAGGGATTTAGAGGTAGCTGAGGAACCAGAACTGAGGGTGGAATTGACAGCACCTGAGAGAGACCTTGACTTCTCCTCTTTACGCACCCCAACCTCTGCGCCTTGGAATCCGTGGCGAGTTTTGACTGGAACAGCACGCCCCTGACCCCTCTTCCTTCCCTTTCTTTTCCTTTTTTGACCCCACTAACAGCTAGCCGATCAGACCCGTAAGTTTGTCATTTGTAGCCTGCCTGGACAGCCTGGAGTTAATAGGTCTGGCCTTGATCCCGCCTCCCCACGTCCAGGGCAGGATACTCAATGTCGGGAGACTGAGGGACCCTCCGATGGATAACACACCATACAGAGGCCGTAGAGGCCGGCTCAATGGGCATGGCGCCAGAGAGAGGGATGCAACCCCTCAGTTGTTCTAAGACAGGGGTCCTGACCCAATAACATGACGCTTTGTCATAATAAAGGAAAGGGGGAGATGTTGGGAGCCATAAGTCAAGGAGCCATCCAGAGTGGTGAGAATATACAGGTCCTTGAAAGACCTGCCACCTGGCAACTGTCACCACAGGCTGTTCTATCCCAGGAGAAGATAAGCAGCCACGAGAACTAGGAACGTAAGATGTTCCCAGGCAGTAGACGTTCTTCAGATAGTGGCTTACACAAAACACCAGAGATATTAACCACAGTAAGGCACTCCCATCCTGCCATATACCTATATAAGTCCTATTATTCCTTCAATAATCTGAGACCTTGACAACAGAATCTTGATTGGTCTCCTTTCTCTCGCCCATGATTCAGGCAGTACCTCTTCAGACCCTGGAATAACTGGACCTGCTGGACAGGTCAAGGAGTGACCTTGTCTGACTGTCTAAAGGTGACTCTACCTGTGGTCCTATAGAATGACCCTGACTATCTGTCTGAAAGTGACTCCACCTTCAGGTCTTAGGAGAGACCATGTCTGACTGAATGGGACTACACCTGCAGTCCTAAGGAGTGACCCTTACTGACTGTCAGAAGTGAACTCCACCTGCAGTCCTAAGGAGTAACCCTAACTAACTGTCTGAATGTTATCATCCTACAGTCCTAAGGAGTGACCCTGAGTGACAGTCTAAAGGGGGCTACACCTTTAGACTTAGGAGGTACTCTGTCTGACTATCAGAAGGGGACTCCACCTGCACTACTAAGGAGTGATCCTGACTGACTGTCTCAGGGTATCCTCCTCCATTCGTAAGGAGTGATCCTTACTGACTTGTGAAGGGCACTACACCTTCAGGACTTAGGAGTGACCCTGACTGACTTTCAAAAGTGGTCTCGACCTACTGTCCTAAGGAGTAATCTTGACTGACTGTCTGAAAGGGACTCTACCTGTGGTCCTAAGGAATGATCCTGCCTGAATGTCTGAGGAGTGACGTTGTCTGACTGTCAGAAGAGGACTCCACCTGCAGGTCTAATGAGTGACCCTGACTGACTGTTTGAAGGGTATCCTCCTACAGTCCTAAAGAGAGACCCTGAACGACAGTCGGAAGGTGACTACACCTTCAGACTTAGGAGTGACACTGTCTGACTGTCAGAAGGGGACTTCACCTTCAGTCCTAAGGAGTGACCCTGTCTGTCGGAAAGTGACTCTACCTGTGGTCCTATGGAGTGACCCTAACTGACTGTATGAAGGGGACACCACGTCCAGGTTTAGGAGAGACCCTGTCTGACTGTTTGAAGGGGAAAACACCTGCAGTCCTAAGGAGTAACCCTAACTGACTGTAGAAGGATATCCTCCTACAGTCCTATGGAGTGACCCTGAGTGACAGTCTGAAGGAGACTACACCTTCAGACTTAGGAGTGACCCAGTATGACGGTCAGATATGGTCTCCACCTGCAGTCCTAAGGAGTGACTATAGGGTATCCTCCTATAGTCCTAAGCAGTGACCCTGAGTGACAGTCTCAATCCACTGAATCTTCAGACTTAGGATTGACCCTGTCTGACTCCACCTACAGTCCTAAGGAATTAAGCTAAATTACTGTCTGAAGTGTATCCTCATACAGTCCTAAGGAGTAACCCTGAGTGACAGTCAGACTGTGTAGTCTGAAGGGGACTACACCTTCAGACTTAGGAGTGACCCTGTGTGACAGTCAGAAAGGGACTCCACCTGCAGTCCTAAGGAGTGAACCTCACTGATGTCTGAAGGGGACTCCACCTGCAGTCCTAAGGAGTGAACCTCACTGATGTCTGAAGGGGACTCCACCTGCAGTCCTAAGGAGTGACCCTGACTGATTGTCTGAAGGGGAATTCACCTTCAGGACTTAGGAGTGACCTTTTCTGACTGTCTGAAGGTGACTCTACCGGTGGTCCTATGGAGTGACCCTGACTGACTGTCAGAGGGGGACTCCACCTGCAATCCTAGGGAGTAAACCTAACTGTCTGAATGGTATCCTCTACAGTCCTAAGGTGTGAACCTGATTGACAATCTGAAGGTGACTACACCATCAGATTTAGAGGTGACCCTGTCTGACTGTAAGAAGAGGAATCCACCTATGTCCTAAGGAGTGACCCTGACTAACTGTGCGAAGGGGACTCCACCTGCAGACCTAAGGAGTGACCCTGAGTGACTATCTGATTGGTATCCTCCTACAATCCTAAGGAGTGACCCTTACTGCCTGTGTGAAGGGGACTCCACCTTCAGGACATAGGAGTGACCCTGACTGACTCTCAGAAGGGGACTACACCTGCAGTCCTAGGGAGTAATCCAACATGACTGTCAGAAGTGTATCCTCCAACAGACCTAAGGAGTGACACTGAGTGACAGTCTGAAGGAGAATCCACCTAAGTCCTAAGGACAGACCCTGACTGACTGTCTGCAGGGGACTCCACCTGCAGTCCTAAGGAGTAACCCTAACTAACTCTCTGTAGGGTATCATCCTACAGTCCAAAGCAGTAACCCTAGTGACAGTGTGAGGCTACTGTACCTTCAGACGTAGGAGTGACCAGTTTTGACTGTCCAAGGGGGACTCCACCTGCAGTCTTAAAGAGTGACCTTGAATGACTGTCAGAATAGGACTCCAACTGCAGTCCTAAAAAATAACCCTAACTAACTGTCTGAAGGGTATCCCCCTACATTCCTAAGGAGTGACTGTGAGTGACAGTTTGAAGAGGACTATACCTAATATTTAGGAGTGACCCTGTCTGACAATCTGAAGGGGACTCCACCTCCATTCCTAAGGAGTGACCCTGACTGATGTCTGAAGGGAACTCTACCTCCATTCCTGAGGAGTGTCCCTACTGAAGTCTGAAGGGGACTCCACCTGCTGTCCTAAGGAGTGACCCTGACTGATTGTCTGAAGGTGAATACACCTTCCGTACTTAGGAGTGACTTTTCTGACTGTCTGAAGGGGACTCTACCTGTGGTCTGGTAGTGTGACCCTGACTGACTTTCGGAAGGGGACTCCACCTGCAGTCCTAATAACTAACCATAACTAACTTTCTGAAGGGTATCCTCCTCTAGTCCTAAGGTGTGACCCTGAGTGACAATCTGAAGGGGACTACACCTTCAAACTTAGGAGTGACCCTGTCTGACTGTCAGGCGAGGAATCCATCCTAGTCCAACGGAGGGCTACTGACGGAGTATCTGCAGGGGACTCCACCTGCATTCCTGAGGAGGGACACTGACTGACTGTCAGAAGGGGACTCCACCTGCAGTCCTAAGGAGTTACCCTAACTGACTGTCTGAAGGGTATCCTCCAGCCATCCTAAGCAGTAACCCTGAATGACAGTGTGAAGCGACGGCACCTTCAGACGTAGGTGTGACCCTGTCTGAGTATCAGAAGGGGACTCCACCTGCAGTCCTAAGGAGTGACCCTGACTGACTGTCTGAAGGGGACTTCACCTGCAGTAGAAATGAGTGACCCTGAATGACTGTCTGAAGAGGACACTACCTTCAGGTCTTAGGAGAGACCCTCGTTGACTGTCTGAAGAGAATACACCTGCAGTCCTAAGGAGTGACACTGACTGACCTACCGGTAGAAGGGACTCCACCTGCAGTCCTAAGGAGAAACCCTTACTAACTTTATGAAGGGTATCCTCCTATAGGCCTAAGGAGTGACACTAGCAACAATCTGAAGGGGACTACACCTTCAGACGTAGGAGTGACCAATTCTGACTGTCCAAGGGGGACTCCACCTGCATTCTTTAAGAGTGACCCTGAATGACAGTCAGAATGGGACTCCAACTGCAGTCCTAAGAAATAACCCTAACTAACTGTCTGAAGGGTATCCCCCTACATTCCTAAGGAGTGACGGTGAGTGACAGTCTGAACAGGACTATACCTAATACTTAGGAGTGACCCTGTCTGAATGTCAGAAGGGGACTCCACCTGCAGTCAGTACTAGGAGTGAACCTTGACGGACTGTCTGAAGGGGACACCACCTGCAGTGCTAAAGAGTAACCCTGACTGTCTGGCTGAAGGTTATTCCTCTACATTCCTAAGTAGTGATGGTGAATGACAGTCTGAAGAGGACTATACCTAATATTTAGGAGTGACCCTGTCTGACATTCTGAGGGGACTCCACCTCCATTCATAAGGAGTGAACCTGACTGAAGCCTGAAGGGGACTCCACCTGCAGTCCTAAGGAGAAACTCTTACTAATTGTATGAAGGGTATCCTCCTACAGGCCTAAAGAGTGACACTAGCAACAATTTGAAGGGGACTACACCTTCAGATGTAGGAGTGACCATGTCTGACTGTCAGAAGGGGACTCCAACTGTAGTCCTAAGGAGTGACCCTGACTGACTGTCTGCAGGGGACTACACCTGTAGTCCTAAGGAGTAACCCTGACTGACTGTAGGAAGGGGACTCTACCTGTGGTCCTAAGGAATGACCCTGACTGACTGTCAGGAGACTCCACCTGCAGACCTAAGGAGTATCCCTATACACTGTCTGAAGGGTATCCCCCTACAGTCCCTAAGAGTGACCCTGATTGACTATCTGCAGGCTATCCTCCTACATTCCTAAGGAGTGAACCTGAGTAACAATCTGAGGGGACTACAACTTAAATCTTAGGAGTGACCCTGATTGACTGGCAGAAAAGGAATCCATCTATGTCCTACGGAGTGACCCTGACGGACTGTCTGCAGGGGACTCCACCTGCATTCCTGAGGAGTGACCCTGACTGACTGTCAGAAGGAGACTCCACCTGCAGTCCTAAGGAGTATCCCTATACACTGTCTGAAGGGTATCCCCCTAAAGTCCCTAAGAGTGACCCTGAGTGACTATCTGCTGGCTATCCTCCTACATTCTTAAGGAGTGAACCTGACTGTCTGTCTGAAGGGGAATACACCTTCAGGACTTAGGAGTGACCTCTTCTGACTGTCTGAAGATGGTTCCACCTGTATCCTAAGGAGTGACCCTGAATGACTGTCTGAAGGGGACACCACCTACTGTCCTAAAGAGTAACCCTGACTGAGTGTCTGAAGGTTATCCCCCTACATTCCTAAGTAGTGATGGTGAATGACAGTCTGAAGAGGTCTACTACTAATATTTAGGAGTGACCCTGCCTGACAGTCTGAAGGGGACTCCACCTCCATTCCTAGGAGTGACCCTGACTGACTGTCTGAAGTGGACTTCACCTGCAGTCCTAATGAGTGAGCCTGACTGACTTACTGAAGGGGACTACACTTTCAGGCCTTAGGAGTGTCCTTGACTGACTGTATGAAGGGGACTGTACCTGTGGTCCTATGGAGTGACCCTGACTGACTGTCTGAAGAGGACACCACCTTCAGGTCTTAGGAGAGCCCCTTGTTGACTGTCTGAAGGGAATACACCTGCAGTTGTAAGGAGTGACACTGACTGACCTATCGGTAGAAGGGACTCCACCTGCAGTCCTAGGGAGAAACCCTTACTAACTGTATGAAGGTTATCCTCCTACAGGCCTAAGGAGTGACACTAGCAACAATCTGAAGGGGACTAGACCTTCAGACGTAGGAGTGACCATGTCTGACTGTCAGAAGGGAACTCCACTTGTAGTCCTAAGGAGTGACCCTGACTGACTGTCTGCAGGGACTCCACCTGAAGTCCTAAGGAGTAACCCTGGCTGATGTCAGAAGGGGACTGTACCTGTGGTCCTAAGGAATGACCCTGACTGACTGTCTGAAGAAGACTCCACCTGCAGACCTAAGGAGTATCCCTATACACTGTCTGAAGTGTATCCCCCTACAGTTCCTAAGAGTGACCCTGAGTGACTATCTGCAGGCTATCCTCCTACATTCCTAAGGAGTGAACCTGAGTAACAATCTGAGGGGACTACAACTTAAATCTTAGGAGTGACCCTGATTGACTGGCAGAAAAGGAATCCATCTATGTCCTACGGAGTGACCCTGACGGACTGTCTGCAGGGGACTCCACCTGCATTCCTGAGGAGTGACCCTG